GGAACCACCCAGAGGTGACCCTCCAGTGGGTGTTCAGAGGCAGTAATTTAATGAGAGGACAATGCCCATCCTTCTTCTACGGAGCAACTATTAGACTCATACTAAGTACCTTTTGATCACAGTGCAGCTTCTAATCACTCGGCCACCAGAACTCAACTGAGCAGGGTCTTAAAAAGTTATGCTTACATATATGATTCAACTATTCCACTCCATCATGGATTGAATTAGGTGCCTCCAAAATACATATACATCATGATACAATGTGGAAACTATGCAATGATCCCCTATGATCTGATAAACCAAACAGGTTTATCAAAAAGGATTAAAGGTGGAATGCAACACCCATAATTCAACCTATGAATTCTACCACAGACCTAATTCTCTGAGAGGGGTTTTCCTAGGGTGTGACCTATTATTATCTTTTAATCTCACTAGAGATCAGAGGGGAGAAAGAGGGAGACCAGGAGATTGTATCTTTTTTGACCAAGGTTCCTCAGAGGAAGCGCCTTCATACTGGGAAAGCCACAGACCAACATCAGACTTGGAAGAGCTGAAGGAAACAAGGACTTTGTGTCACAATCAACAGATAAGAGAGTGGCCTTTCCCTTATAGTTGGCACTCTGAATTTGGATATCTAATCTCCTAAACTGCAAGAGAATGTATTTCTTTCTACTAAAGCCACCCACTTGTGCTATCTCTGTCACAGCGGCATTTTAGGTAACTAGAATACAATCTCAGGTATTACCCAAGAGAAATAAAAGTCTATGTGCATATGGAGATTTTATATGGATGTTGATAGCAGCTGTATTTGTAATATCTTTGTCTGGAAGCAACAGTGACGTCCATCAAAACAAGTTAAGGTAAGTAAGTCCAGGTAAGTAGACACAATGAAGTATTATGCAATAAAAAAACTGATGTACACAACAGGGTACAAGGCAAAATAACTGTAAGGTAAAATAAGAGAGGGGTGGGAAAAAAAGAGAACATACTATGTAATTTATAAATACAAACTGATCTATGACAAGTTTCTCAGTAAAAAACAAAAAAGTATCTCAGTAGTTATGGAGCTGGGGGCCACAGAACACTTATGAAGGGCCTGAGGACACGTCTGTGATGATGGACATGTTCAATATCTTGACTATGAACATGCTTCCCTGAGTACATACTTACTGTCAATATTGTCAATACCAGACTGGACACTCAAGAGTATGTACACTGTGCGGCCTGGGCTCGGGCTGGGCTCCGCGCGCCCTTCCCCCCCCATGAGGCAGAGGCCGCAGTGGCCATTAGCGCTATTCTATTAGTTCCCAGCCGCCTGCCGGCCCTCCCTCCCTCTCCCCGATGCAGGGGGCCGAGCTGGCTTCCTATCCCGTCCTGAGCCGCCTGCTCGGCTATGGAGAGGCGGCCCCGAGCCAGGCCCGCCACCGCCGCCCTTACTCGCGCGGCCTGGCCCACGGGGCTCCCGGGCCCCGCAGCTGATGGTGTTCCGCAACGTGGGTCGGCCGCCGGAGGAGGAGGAAGTGGAGGCGGCTCCGGAGTCCGGATCCTCAGAACTGCTGTGCCCCGGCACCGCTGTGCCCTGGACCCCAAGGCCTTGCCATCGGGGCTGGCGCTGGAGCGGTGCTGGGGCCCGGCAGCTGGACTAGAGGCTCTGGGGCTCGGGAACCAAGACCAAGACGGTTGGTGGTTGCTGCCTGTGTCCGTGCTCCCCGCAGCCGCCCCCTCCGCAACCCCAGCCGCCTGCTGCCGCCCCGCAGGCCGGGGAGAACCCCACGGAAACAAGCGACGCGCTGCTGGTCTTGGAGGGCTTGGAATCCGAGGCGGAGAGAATGGAGACTAAGAGCTGCTCGGAAGAGGAGCTTAGCAGCCCGGGCCGCGGAGGAGGAGGGGGCGGCCGGCTTCTGCTGCAGCCCCCAGGCCCGTAATCACCCCCAGTCCCCTTCCCGCTGCAGGACTTAGTCCCTCCAGGGCGTTTGAGTAGAGGGAACCAGCAGCAGCAGCCTCCCCCTCCTCCTGGGCCCCTCCGACCACTTCTCGAAAGGGCTCACTCAAAATCCGCCTCAGTCGCCTCTTTCGCACGAAGAGCTGCAACGGTGGCTCTGGTGGTGGGGACGGGACCGGCAAGAGGCCTTCTGTAGAACTGGCCGCTTCAGCCAAGAGCCTGACGGACATGAGCGGCTCTGTGAGCCGAGAGACGGACACAGGGAGGAAACCCAGGTTGACAAGAACTCAAAGTGCCTTTTCTCCGGTCTCCTTCAGCCCCTTGTTTATAGGTGAAACAGTGTGGCTTGTGGACGTGGACATCTCTCAGCAGGGCCTGACCTCTCCTCATTCTCCAACTCCCCACCCTCCTCCCCGAAGAAGCCTCAGCCTCCTAGATGCATTTCCCCGGATTGCTCCCATCAGAGCAGCAGAATCCCTGCACAGCCAGCCCCCACCCCAGCACTTGCAGTGTCTCCTCTACCGACCTGACTCGAGCAACTTTGCAGCCAGCCTCCGAGAGTTGGAGAAGTGTGGTTGGTATTGGGGTCCAATGAATTGGGAAGACGCAGAGATGAAGTTGAAAGGGTTGGAGAAGTGTGGTTGGTATTGGGGTCCAATGAATTGGGAAGACGCAGAGATGAAGTTGAAAGGGAAGCCAGATGGTTCTTTCCTGGTACGAGATAGCTCTGATCCTCGTTACATACTGAGCCTCAGTTTCCGATCACAGGGTATCGCCCACCACACTAGAATGGGAGCACTACAGAGGAACCTTCAGCCTTTGGTGTCACCCGAAGTTTGAAGATCTCTGTCAATCAGTGGTAGAATTAAGAGGGCCATCATGCACTCCAAGAATGGAAAGTTTCTCTATTTCTTGAGATCCAGGGTTCCAGGACTGCCTCCACCTCCAGTCCAGCTGCTCTATCCAGTGTCCCGATTCAGCAATGTCAAATTCCTCCAGCACCTTTGCAGATTCCGGATCCGACAGCTTGTGCGGATAGATCACATCCCGGATCTCCCACTGCCTAAACCTCTGATCTCTTATATCCGAAAGTTCTACTACTATGATCCTCAGGAAGAGGTATACCTATCTCTGAAGGAAGCTAGCTTATTTCCAAACAAAAGCAAGAACTGGAACCCTCCACGTAGTGAGGGGCCCCTGCTGGTTGCCACCAAGGGCATTTGGTTACCAACCTCCAGTTTTAAAGAACCAAATGATGGTGCCATGGAAAGACAAGAGAGGAAATAGGAAGGGTCAGGATTCTCTGTGCAAAGACTGGTTCCCTTATGTAGCTCTGGGGCTCAGAAGAAGCATGCAACCAACCATGCTCTTTGTTTGCGCACAGGCTGCACCTTTCTCATCCAGCCCCTGTGAGATCCTGGAACTGGATGAGCTCCCTGGAAAACTGGAAGAAGTCTCAACACTTTCTTTTTCAGAAGTTTTATTTTTGATAGTTCTATTTCTTGGTGTGGAAGATTGATCTTAAAGGCAGCTGATGTTTGTGCCCACTGGATTGGAAGTGGCATGAAAGATGAGCAGGTCTGAAGGAGGGAAGAAGAGGGAAAGGGACTGCCAGTTACCACCCAATCAGCCGGTGCCAGAGGCAGAGGTGGTGGGAGGAAAGGGTCAGAGAAGTGCTTTTTTAAAAAATTTTTTTAAATTGTATTATTTTTACGTGTACCGTCAAATCAGATCTGACTGGTACAGGAGGAGATTGCTCCCTCCTTCTCCAGCAGAGCATCTGGTGGATTTGAACTGCGTACCTCTGGGATTGCAGAGAAGTGCTTTTTATAGAAGAAAAATTAACAAAAAAAAAAAGATTATGTACACTGTGCTGTATGTCAATTACATCTTATGAAAAGATCTTTATATATCAACAAAGAAAAATGTCTCTGATTATGGGAGGGAGCAATAATATAACTGCATGTATATTTTTATTTAAAAAATTATCTTAACTACTTATAGCTGTGTTTGTATGGATAAAATGTATTTAACAGTATGGACTACCAAAAGAACAGGTAGGTCTTAAGAGAAAAATGCAGTCAGAATTTTCCATGGAAGCAACGATGACAAAGTTTCTTCATCTCACATACTTTGAGAATGTTGCCAGGAGAGGCTATTCCTTGGAAAGGAACACCATGCTTGGAAAGGTGGCAAGTCAGTGAAAGAGAGGAAGACCCTCAACCAGGTGGACTGACATAGTGACTGCAGCGGTTGGTTCAAGTGTGTCAGAGCGATGAGGATGGCACAGGTTAGGGCAGGGTTCAGATCTATTATTCATAGGGTTGCTATGCGTCGTACTTAATGGCATCTGACGACGACAACAACAACAATAATGATAAAAGAATCGACCAATTTGGAGGTGGGGGGAAGGCATTGTTTCCTCTAGGAACTGCTTTCAGTGAGGGCTTTACTTCTTATTAGAATCTCTTAGTGGTGCAGTTAACCCTCAGATGCTAACAGAAACGTTGGTAGTTTGAGTTTACCCAAAGGCACCTCAGAAGAAAGGCCCAACCACCAACTCCTGACAATGGGCCACTAAACACCACAGGAAGCTCGCTTCTATTCTGTACACACAGGGTCAGTCAGTCACCAAAAAGCAGCATTAACTAAATGGCAACTGTTTCTTTACTGGTATACATCTTACTATTTCTGTACCATTTGATGCCTGCATCATAAACATGTATTGCTTTTATCATAAAAAACCCTTTTCTATTTCTTTAAAACAATAATTACAATTATTGTAAAAGCTATTTTTTAAAAAGATACTATACTTTTATTACCTAATAGTATCATGAAAAAAAATGTTATGGTTAAAAAATGGCTTGGCTGTAAATCAAAGTGGTAGAAGTGTTTGTGTTAGGTTGTCTGGATTATAAATTTTCTTAAAATAATTTGAATTTTCCATAAAATGCTTGTGATAGTTTATAAGTAAAAGAGAGAAAGTTCTTAATTTTTAAAAAATCATATCAAAATAATGCCACAAATCCACAAACTCAAATAAATAAAGGCTTATTACCTAAATTAGTACTTCTGAGCATGCTGACCAGTGCTGGCATGAGTTGAAATTCAAATATCCGTTGGCCTCCACAGTAGCTGCACGCAGGGAGCTCACTAGTTTCTGGCGTGGGGCAGGATAAAAAGAGTGGCTCTCCGCTCCAGGAATACCTGGGACAAAGAAGCAAAGACCCTGAATCAATCATGAGTGAGTCACATTCTACCTCCCTTGGAGGCCAGGCTTTGCATATTCTCTTTGCTGCAGAGTGCCGGGATTAAGCGGGAAAAAAGAGGACTAAAATCACAGCACTGTGAAAAGTCATGAGATATTCAAAGTCTTGTCAATATGTGATTCAAACTCTCAACAAATTGATGAAAGGCATGTTTAATTGGATCTAACTAAAACTGCTATAAAGCCCAGACTCAGTGCACCTGCAGATTAAACTGACTTAAGCCCCAAAACTATGAGCCTTCCACAGGACACAGATTTTTATAGACAAGTGATTATCTGGAATCTTTATCAAAAAAGTAAAATGTCCTACAACCAGAAGATAAAATAGATGAATGGGACCTTCTAAGAATCAAACCCTTATGCACATCCAAAAACTTCTCCAACAGGATAAAAAGGGAAGCCACACTGGGAAAAAGTATTTGGTCATGACATATCAGATAAGGGACTTCTATCCAGAATTTATAAAATACTTTCGCACCACAACAAGATAAAGGTAAATAATCCAATAGAAAAATGGGCACAGGATAGGAACAGACACTTCACCAAAGAAGACATTCAGATGGTTAACAAGCACATGAAGAAATGTTCAAAATCCCTACCTCTAAGAGAGATGCAAATCAAAACACCTATGAGATACCATCTCACCCCAGTCAGAATAGCAAAATTTAACAGAACAGCAAGCAAAAAATGTTGGCAAGGTTGTGGAGAAACTGGAACCCTTATTCACAGTTGGTGGGATTGTAAAATGGTGCAACCACTGTGGAAGGCAGTATGGCACTTTCTCAAAAAGTTGCCAATAGAGATACCATTTGACCCAGCAATTCCACTACTGGGAATATACCCCAAAGAGACCATAACTGACATCCAAGCAGATATATGCACACCCATGTTTACTTTGCCTTTGTTCATAATAGCAAGGCGTTGGAAACAACCAAAGTGCCCATCAAGAAATGAATGGATAGAGAAGCTGTGGTATACTCACACAATGGAATACTACGCTGCATTGAAAAACAGGGAACTCATGCAATATTATTCAAAATGGGTGACCCTGGAGGACATTATTCTGAGTGAGGTATCTCAGTCACAAAAGGACAAATACTGCATGGTGCCACTGTTGTAAAACAGGACTGACCTTGGGGTTGGGGGGAGACTGAGAAAGATGGGTTGCACTGAAACAGATGAGGGAGAAAACTGTTTAAAAGGCATATGTTATCAGGTATTATTGTCAAGGCAGGAGTCCAGAGCAAAGGCTGCATAGTGGAGTGGACCTGGGGGGAGGGATTGTAAAACAATGAAAGAATTTTTCTTTTACTTTCCCAAGAGGGTAGTGTACTAGGGGTTAGGTAGGGCTGGGAGGAAAGAAAAGTGCAACAATGAAGGAAATCCAAAGACTCTCTAGGTTTTCACTGAAATTAATAATAAATGGGGGGGGGGGAAAGTAAAATGTTGAACACAGTGTGGTGATCACTCAAGAAACCACAATGGGACTATTCTACCATATGGCCTCTGGTACATATAGTCTGTAAAAGTGGTGCTGCTTATCCAAAGGCCTCTCTGCTGGTTCAAATCTGCCAGTAGCTCCAAGGAAAATGGAGAAGCTCCTCTCAGGCAATGTATAGTTAGAGAGACAGCTAGAAGACAGTTCTGACTCTAGAGCAATGACAATGATGTGAATAATTTAGTAAGGTCTCAATCTGTTGTACACTGGGTGGCTGTGAAATAGAGTTGACTCAAGGGTACCTAGGAACAGTAGTAGGATCCAGCATGAAGTCCTAATGGCAGAGTGGATTAACTGTCAATGGTTCAAATATACCAGCTGCTCCGCAGTAGATAAGGCAGCCAGCTTTCATAAAGATTTGCAGCCTGGGAAACACCACAGGCAGTTCTCTTCTCTCTGATGGCTAAACTCCATGACCTAACAATTCCACTAAGACATTAGACAAGGTCCACTGCAGCAATATTCACAAGAGTCAAAGGGTGGTAACAACCTAAATATCCATCAAAAGATGAATGGATAAACATCCATACATATCATGGAATAAACTTATAGCTGTTAAATTGGAACCAAACTTATAGCTGACCCTCTTTCAGGTTTCTGAAGCTGTAAATTACACAGAAGGAGACTGGTAATTTTTCACTCCAGGAACAACTGGTAGATTCAAACTACCAGAGAAGAGTGGCCTTTTAGGTAAGCAGTACAACACCCTACAGACTAAACCATCAGAGCTTTCTTATAATGGAACACAATTCAGAAAGAGTAAAGAAGTACTATAACACATGTTACAATATGGATTTTTTTTTTACAATATGGATTTTGAATATGGATTTTAAATTCTGAGCAAAATAAGCTAACGACAGAAGGACAGATATTGTATGATCTGACATGTGAAAAGAGGAGGCAAAAATTTAGAGATCAGTCATCAGTATGAATTATACCAAAACATAAAGAAAACAAACATCCTCACAACTAGACAAACTATCATGAGAAATGGAAAACAAACTGAAATTGTCTAGAACATGTTCAATGTCATTGGGTCTTAGGGAAAGCAGTTATTAGAGAAATGTAAATTAAAACCACACTAAAAAAAAACCAAAAAACCCCACACTGAAACATCACTACAGACCTTCTAGAAAGACTAAAATTTAAAAAGTGACCATGCTAAGTGTTGGTAAAAAATATGGAGGAACTAGAACTCTTACAGACTGCTGATTAAAAACGTGAAATAGTAAAACCACCTTAGAATAGTTTGCTTCTTTAGAAAGCTAAACATGAACATTCCATGTAATGCAACTCAAGAAAATGTGCCCATATGAAGAATTGTACTCAACTGCACAGAGCAGTTTTATTTGTTACAGTCCAAAACTAAAGATAAAAACAAAGCAACAATTTACATAGGCAAAAAACATGAATCTCAATATTAATCATGCTGACTGAAACAACACCCTTCACACACACAATGTCCAGCATGACTCTACTACAATGAATTACTATAACATGTATAATGACAGAAAATGGATCAGTAGATGCCTGGGAATGAGAGAAGGGGCAGAGGAGGGGGCAGGAACTTACAGTGGGATATAAAAAACCTTCTGAAGGATAGATGTTCATTACCTTGATAGTAGCAATGATTTCATGGATGTATATTATGTCAAAACTCAAAAACTGTATACGTTAGATTTCAGCTTGCTTTGTCAGTTATACCCAAAAAACCGTATTCTTAAAAGGATACTAACGTATGCTTCAGGGAGCTCTGGTGGCCTAGTAGCAAGAAGCTGCACTGCAATCCCAGAGGTACACAGTTTGAATCCACCAGATGATCTGCTGGAGAAGGAGCGGCAATCTCCTCCTGTACCAGTCAGATCCAATTTGACAATAAACACACACACACAGAGTAATAAGGTAAAAAAAGTATGCTTCACCAAAGAACATACCCAGATGGCAATAAAGTATGTGAAAAAATGCTCAACATCATTAGGTAGCAGGGAGGGATATGCAAATTAAAACATCTTTAAAATGAGATCACACCTACTCTTGTTATGTGCCATCAAGTCGCCTGCGACTCATATGGACCCTATGTAAATAAGCTCTGAAAGCTGCCCCATCCTGCGCTAATCTCATCATCTCCAACAGACTTAATTCCATTGCTCCAGTCACTGAGTCAATTCATCTCATTTGGGGTCTTCCTCTCTTGTGCTGTCTTTCAACCCTTCCAAGCATGATGTCCTTCTCCAAGGCCTGGTCCCTCCTGGCCACATGCCCAAACTGTATGAGAAAGAGCGTCAAAAATCTTTGCCTTCAGGGAGGAAACGGGTTTCACCCTCTCCAGGACAGGGCTATTAGATGCCTAAAATTAAAAACACTGATAATATTTCTAAAAATCAGGATATGTCTCTCATTGACAATTTTTTCTTTTAACAACTGGAACAGGAGGAGATTGGCCCTCCTTCTCCAGCAGCATTGCCAATTATTCTTGTACTTAACATACCTTAACATTTAAAGATTTAGTTCTTATTTGGAGGAAAAGGTCCTAATTCATTGAAGTATGTTTCTTTAAAGTCTTCATTGGGTTCTTTGACACTAATCATCCCATCTTTGCTAAACTTCCACAGATAATATCGCTAATTGATCGGCATTTACTACCTAAACTACAAATTTGGGAACTACAAGTGCCCACAATTATATGAGCTATTTCTTTGAAGTAAATCAATCTCTCTCTCCATATCATATGTATTACTGATTTTCCTCCTCAGAAAGGTGACCCAACAGAGTGTAGAAATTATCAAAACAATATCATCAATATCACATGCAAGCAAGATTCTGCTGAAAATTATCCAAAAACATTTGGAACAATATGTCAACAGAGAACTGCCAGATGTGCAGGCTGGATTTAGAAGAGGTCGAGGTACTAGGGATATTATAGCTAATGTTAGATGGATCTTGGAAGAAAGCAAAGAATACCAGAAGAATGTCTATCTGTGCTTCATTGACTATGCAAAGGCTTTTGACTGTGTGGATCACAACAAGCTGTGGCTGACTCTGAGAAGAATGGGAATCCGAGAACATTTGATTGGGCTAATGCGAAACCTATACTTGGATCAAGAGACAGCTGTCAGAACAGAGCAAGGTGACACTGCATGGTTCAAAATTGGGAAGGGGGTTCACCAGGGATGTATTCTGCCTCCATACCTTTTGAATCTGTATGCAGAACAGATCATCCAAGACGCTGGGCGTCAGGATTAGTGGAAGAGTCATTAACAACCTGCGTTATGCAGATGATACAACCCTGCTTGATGAAACTGAGGACCTGAAGTGCTTGCTGCAGAAGGTCAAGGACTGCAGCCTCCTATATGAATTGAAGCTCAACATCAAGAAAACAAAGATTCTCACCACTGGGCCAATTGGCAGCATCACTATGGAAGGTGAAAAGATTGAGATAGT